AAGGATGGTATGATGACCGACCTCGATCCTTTCTCGTCTATGCACCTTCTAGAACAGCAGCAGTTTATGTCCTTGCAGATGACGACAATGATCTTGAACCAGCCCTTTCAGATGAAGCTGAACCAGCCCTTGCAGATGAAGCTGAACCAGAGCCAGTTGATCCTTGATAAGAAGATTCTGGGACAAATGTTACAAGTACACGATGGCAGCAGTAAATCCCCAGTGAAACTAGCCAAACCAATATCTTGTTGTTTAACCGACACTGAAACACCAAAGAAGCATATTTGAAGTGGAATAAGTGGGAGCGCTAGTTAATCTTTAGTGAGGCAGGACACTGACTCGAAATCTTGTACATGTGCCTTGCTAGGTAATAATTGCGATATCACACCCATCTTTCTGTTTTTTCTTTTTAGGATTCAATGTCGTAACCTGAGTCTCAAATGTCAATCTCCATAATGTATACTCTCCTAAGAGTTAGAGGCTTCAAAGGGACTTTTATAGTGGAAAATTTTGCAGGAGGCTGACTTTTGCTTTGGGGTCTTTTTTCGGTAGCTGTCTCCTTTATATTTAAAAGTTGAGTTGTAGCAATTCCTATCCGTGTAATAAAGACATCATACGTCGTGGAAAAAAGAAAGTAAAATAATTACCTTACTTTACGAAGGGTTGGTTGGACATTCAATTCCTTTCAACTTCTATTTTTTAAAATTAGAATAGTTTATATTCACGACCAACAGCAAACTACCGGTTTAATGTTCCAGAAGGAAATATCAATGGCCAATGGGTTCAGTGCTTAGACTTTCCATCCCAAGAATTCAGGTTTCTGCATCCATGAAAGTCGAGACCTTAACCGTAATGGTTGAGAGGACATTGGTGCTGGGTTGGATGCATTTATGGGTTAGATGCGACAAAGGTCGAGTCAAGACGTGGTTGAGAACACACCGGCGAAAGAGCGGTTGCAGAGGTCGGCGAAAAAGCGATTACAGAGGTTGTCGCACTTGGAAATTGGGTTAAGCATCAATCGTAACCGCAGTTGGAAGTGCGGTTCACATCGCGTCGCAATTGGAAACGCGGTTCATACGGCACCGCAGTTGAAATTGCGTAACCGCACTTGGAAGTGCGGTTCATTTGGACGTAACTGGAAATGCGGTGAATTTTTTTTCTCGCTTTTTGTTTTGATTTACTATTTTTTGAATTTGATTTGTTTTTTATTTTTTTTATCAGTTTAAAAACTAAAAATTACGCATAATAAATATCTTTTAAATAAATAGATAATTTCAAAAACATTACATATTAACAAACAAATATAAATTTAAAATTAATTATATTATAAATAATATTTAAATAAATATCAATATAATAAAAATTAAAAAAATGTTAACAATTCAATATAAAAAGTTTAAAAAGATCACAAAAATACAACAAATTAATTAAAAACAATTTAATATTTAAATAAACTAATAAAAAAAATATAAAAAGCAAATAAAATTAAAAAACAATCAAATATAATAAATGTAGAATAAAAAAATTTCAACGCACTTCCAAATGCAAAGCAAATAAAATTAAATTAAATATAATAAATAAAAAGCTTCACCGCACTTTCAAGTGCGTCAACTGCATTTTGAACTGCGTGCATGATTTACTACACTTCCAACTATACTTAGATTATTTCAAATTGCAGCCGCACTTCAAAGTACGGATAACTGTGCAACTTCATCCAAATAAAAACAGTCAAAATATTCTATATGTCATGACAGAGTAATAGGGACACAAGTGGAATGATACAAAAATTGGGAGGTGCAGGACGAGACTGGTGAGGTGGAGGGAGAAACACTCATATATGAATGATCCATTTCATGTGTATTGTTAAACTTGTATAATTAATATATCAAGAGACTTTCCTAATATTTTTTGTTATACTCATCTGTCAACACCCAATTTCGTCCGGATTGACCAATAGATTTATTTTATTTTATTTTCATCATGAGTGTCAAATATAAAAAAAGAATAATAAAAAATAAAAAAATAAAAAATGAAAAAAAAGGAAGAAAAAGAAAAGAAAAGCGTTCGTCCTCCGTAGTGGGCGTTCGTTTTCTCCCCTTTCAAACGTCCGGTCCTGAGTGTTTGAACGTTCGGTCATATTATTTGTTAGTAACGTTCGGTCGTGGGTTATGTAGCGTTCGGTCTGTAGACGTTCGGTCTTCTTTTTAACGTTCGGTCTTCGTGTGAACGTCCAGTCCTGTTATGTGAACGTTCGGTCATGTTATATGTGAACGTTCGGTCATGTTATGTGAACGTTCGTTCATGTTATGTGAACGTTCGGTTTTGTTTTGCGATAGTGAACGTTCGGTCATGTACTGTGTTAGTGAGCGTTCGGTTATATTGTTTAATGAGCGTTCGGTCTTCATTTGAACGCTCGGTCATTCATTTGAACGCTCGTTTTGTCTTCAGCGTTCGTACTATTAGTGCTTATTTTCTTCCAGCGTTCGGTGTTGAACGCTCGTCCTTTGCCTTGTGCGACCGCTCGTCCTCGTTAAGATACCGCTCGTCCTGACCGTCACTTCCATTCTTCTACTGTTCGTCCAATTCATTCAACTCTTCTGCCGCTCGTCCAAGACATTCTTCTGCCGCTCGTCCAAGTCACTCCTTCTGCCGCTCGTCATGTGGTGCTGGATGGCGTTCGTCCAATTTGAGTTTCAAACGTCGTTGCTGGCTTTGTTTTAAAGGGGCCCTACATTGAATTATTCCCACGATCTTTGTCTCCCATTTCACCAACCCTCCAATTATGTTTGCCTACCTAATTATCCCATTATCAACAGTCATCCAATAAAATCTACCGACGCTTGTGAGCCAATGGGAGCTGCGACAGAGTTTGATCATTTTGCCAATTTAATGAGGCCATCATCTTCACTGAAGGGGGGGGTGACTACAGCCGAGGGGCACTGGCTCCCTCTGATCCTCTCACCCGTGAACATTTTCCATCATCTTCAACCCCAACACTTGATCCCAAACCCACTGCCACGACCAACCTTATCCTACGGCTATACAGCCTATCATCATCTGGATC